CCTTTTTTTTTTTTTTTTTTTTTTTTTTTTTGAGACAGAGGCTTGCTGAGTTGCCTAGGCTGGGGATGCACCTGCCTCAGCCTCCCAGACTGCTGGGATTATAGGTGTACACCACTATTCCCAGATCATATTAAATGTTCTTAAGCATACAGTTCAGTGGCATTACGCACATTCTCATTTTTGTGCAATTATCACTGCTGTCCCTCTCAAGAATTCATCTTGCAAAATTGAAACCTGTATCCATTAAGCAAAAACTCCCCATTCTGCATTCTCCTCAGCACCTGACACTCAAGTATCTCATATAAGTGGAATCAAACAATAGTATTTGTGGGTTTTGTAACTTTTTATTTCAGTGAGTATAATGGTCTCAAGGTTCATCTGTCTAGCATGTATCAAAATGTTCTTATTATAAGTTGTGATTCCCAAACCCAGTCTGATATCTTCCCTGTGTTCCTCACACTTCGCTACCTCAGAAGGAAATCATAGACAAGAATAACTAGTTCAGGGCCAGAGATTTAGCTCAGTGGTTCCACCACCTTCCTTGCAAGCACCAAGGACCCGAGTTCAATCCCTGGTTTTAAAAAAAAAAGAATAGTTCAGCAGAGAAGGCACGTACGTCTCAGATGGAACAAGTAGACCTCATTCAAATATACACTCTGAAATTGAGTATTTGGAAATACCCTCTGAGATCATGTGATGCTAAAATAATGGGGTGTAATATTTTTTAAGACCAATCTACACATGCCAGATGGTGCTTTGCTATGCTAAATAGAGGCTTGGTCTCCCCCACAGCTTGCTGTACTGGCCCTTTGCACTGAACTACATAATTTAGACTTTGTAGGTTATGAGTCAGGATCTGTATGTATATAAGAGAAAAAAAAATCTCTACAGATTTTAATTGAAATTCAAAAGAAATAGAGTGCTTTTTTGTATTAACAAGTCTAATAAGAATGGAATTGCTTTGGGGGAGTAACATTTCATTTAATTAGGATTCAGAGTTGGTATCCCAATCATTAAAATCAATTGTTAAAAAAAATAAGTAAAATAATAATAAGTGTAAATTAATTATTGTAAAAAAGTGTTTATCTGTTAACTTTGATTTGTAGAGATTTTATTTACTATACTGAGTCCATTTTTTGTGTGCATAATTCTGTATAGTAGATGTTAAAAGTGAAATATAATGAAATACAAAGCATATGTCCTGTTCTGATGAAATCAATAATATTATAAAATTATTTGCAAAGGAAGAGCTTCCTTAATGATGGGGTCACTTTAGGAAATATATAAAAAAGTTGATTTCAGGTGCTTGAAATGTTTTTGAGACCATTTATATGGTTCAGAAGACAGATACTTTTTTTTTTTTTTTTTTTTTTTTTTTTTTT